ACTCTGTTTTTTTTGTTCTTTTCATAGATTTATTTTCATTTTTTTATGTGTTTAAGAGCTGGGAGTAAGCCAGACGTGTGGGGCGTGGAGGGGGTGAGAGTATTCACCAGAGACAAATTGGGGAGCAGAACAGGAAGATCTATTGAAAAACACTGCTGATGGGAGAAGCAGGAGGAGACAGGAGAGGTCTGCTGCTCATATGTGGGTCAGTTCCCTGACAAGGGATCAAACTCATGCTGCAGTGGCTGGTGATAGCTTGATAGCATTGAAACTTTAACCTCTGCATTAACAGGAAGGTCCCATTATAAGATACTCTGAAATCCTAAATTGCTTTTTTTTTCTTTGCATAAATTAAGGTTCATTCTTTATATTGTAAAGTTCTAAGAGTTTTGACAAATGAAAAGTGTCATGTATCCATTATCACATCATACACAATATTCTCCTTTAAAAATTATCCTGTTTTGGGCCTCCCTGGTGGTGCAAGGGGATAAGCATCAGCACTAGGAAGCTATCCAGCTATGGTAGCACAAATTAGATCCCCAACCAGGTTGCTAACCCACATGACACAGCAGACCTCTCCTGTCTCGCCTGCTCTCCCCTCAGCAGTGTATTTCAGTGGATCTGCCTGTTCTGCTCCCCATTCTGTCTCTGCTGAATCCTCTCACCCCCTGCACATCTGGCCTACACCCCAGGTCTTCTATGCATAAATATATAAATCTTAAAAAAAATTATCCTGTTTTACCTATACAATACTCTTTCCACCAAAACTAACTGAACCACTTACCTGTTATATGTATCTATAGCTTTTCCATTGTCAAAATTTTTTAAAATAAAATCATACATTATGCAACTTTCTCAAACTGCCTTTAGTAAATAGCAATATACACTTAAGATTCAGTGATATTTGGTCATGACTCTTTCCTCTTAATATCAGAATATTATCCCATTATTTTAGGAATGACACCATGTCATTTGTTCTTGCATCTCTTTGGAAGAATAACTCAACTGCTTTCAGGTTTTATTGATTACAAATAAAACTGCTGTAAATATTTACACGCTGGCTTTTTTGTGGACCTAATTATGCATGTTGCCTAAATACTTAGGAGTGCAATTGTTCTATCACGTAATAATTACATTTGGTTTTGAAAGACCTGACATACTCTCCTAGAGAGGTGTTGCACAGTTTTGTGCTGGTGACCAGCGAATGCGCATTCTTTGCTCTAATACAATTTTAACATCAGCTTTTTTTCTTATTTTAGTCATATAATTATTGCATAATGGCATATCTTTGCAATATAAGGTTTATTTTTTTATTTATTAAAAATGCTACTGGGGCCTCTCTGGTGGCACAAGGGATTAAGTCTCAGTGCTATAAAGCTATGGGCAGTCACTACAGCATGAGTTCAATCCCCAAACAGGGAGCTGAACCACATAGTGCAGCAGACCTCTCCTGTCTCACCCACTGCTCCCCTCAGCAGTGTATTTCAGTCAATCTGCCTGTTCTGCTCCCTGCTCTGTCTCTGGTGAATCCTCTCACACTCCTGCACCTCTGGCCCACACCCCAGCTCTTGTATGCATAAATAAATCCTAAAAAAAAAAAATGCTATTGACTGTCTTTTGTTACCGTGCCGCCTGATGTCTTAAGTGAGTTCTCCATTAGTTTTTTTTTTTGTATTTTATTAAGTTGAGTTATTTATTTTCAATAAATTTTAAGTGTTTTTGTACATTTTGGATTAAAGTTCTTTATTGTATATATGCTTGCTTCCAGTCTGTGTCTCAATGTTGATTCCAATAATGATGTCTTTCACAGAGCAGATGATTTTAATTTTATTGATGTTCAACTAAATTTTTTATTGATTGTATATCTGAAGGCTCTTCATGAAACCCAAGACCACATACATTTTCTTCTAGAAGTTTTATTGTTTTGCATTTATATTTAGGTCTATGGGCAACTTGCAGTTTATTTTTGTGTAAGATACACGGTATATGTCTTGGATTTTGCATAGGATATAAATTTTTTTCCCAGAATTTTTATTATTCTTTGTCTTTGTAAAAAAAAATCATTTGGTTACATTTATGGATTTACTTCTGGGCTCCATCTACTCCTTCTACTGTGTCTATATTTTCACCAGCTCCATGCTATATTGATTACTATAGCTTTGTAGTAAGTCTTGAAATTGGGTAGTATGAGTCTTCCAACTTTGTTTTCCTTGAGTATTGTGTGGGCTACAGGAGACTCTTTATCTTTCAATATAAATTTTGTAATCAGTTTGTTAATATCTATAATATAACCTGCTTATATTTTGGTGGGAACTGATGAAATTGAAAATAGCATCATAACTATATTATTATCTGTAATTTTTTTTTAGATTTATTGATTTATACAAACACTGGGTACAGTCAGAAGCACAGGAGGGTGAGAGAATTCATCAGAGCCAGAGCGGGGAACAGAACAGGCAGATGAACCGAAAACACTGTTGAGGGGAGCAGCAGGCACAGCAGGAGAGGTCTGCGCACCATACGGGACCCTCGCTGGCGCTGGGGATCGAACCGGCGCTGCAGAGGTTGCGAGCAGCTTCACAGTCCAGCCCTCAACCGCTGCCCATTGATCTGTATTCTTATATGTGAAATATCTACTTATTTAGACCATATAGAATGTTAAATAGTTTTATTGTTACTTTTCTTTAATTTTTTAAATCAGGGTTTTGTAGTTTTTTTTTCACACAGAATTTGCACATATTTTCTAAGTTTATAGCAAAGAATTCAAATCTGTTAGTATTTAATCTTTCCTATAAAAATATATCTCTGAGTCTATAGATACTTTTCTGTCTTTTTTTTTTTCTTATAGTGAAGTAGCAGATAACAGAAATCCTTCAAAATAAGCAGAACAAAGTTTAATTGCTGATAAATGGTGGGGAGAGTTAGAGGAACGTTGTTTAGGCAAGATTTCCAGGAATGACTGTTTGGACAGAAGCATACAATTGACCTGCCAGTGATGTTCTACTCTTGCCATAATCAGAAACTTGGCATTGATGAAGTCAACACCCCAGTTGCTGGCTTAGGATCATCAACCATTAGCCACTTTGCCTGGATCAGAAGGTACTATCAGAAATGTTGGCTTCAGAATGACTCACTAGCTTCACTGCCATTCATAGATCAGCAAGATATTTCTAGAGTCACTGGCTCTAGTGTCACAGTGGGTCTAGCAGAAATGCAAAAGCAAAAAAATTTTAAATGCTTTGCACATTGTCAAATTCCCAAAGTAACTTGTTTCTAAATTCAAGTCCAAGTTTAGATGAGTACACTTGATTGGCAAAACAAAATCTCTTTTGGACCTAAGCAGCAAAGGAATGTTAAAAAATGTGTTTTTAACACATTAAAGCCAGAAAGAAAAAGAAAAATAACGGATGGTGTCACTCATAGCAGGAATTTAGAAAACCTAAATAAGGGACCAGGAAAAAGACTAATTATATTAAAGTAAAAATCAAAATCAACAAGCAACTATAAACCAGAGACACACTTAGAGGGGGCATGGAGGGGAAGGCGAGGAAGGATTAGGGTCAAAACAAGGTGGGGGTGGGAATTGTATGGGGAATATAACCAAGATGAAAATGCATACATTGTGCAAAATGAAAAATGATGTAAAAATATATAACATAAAATAGATGTAAATTATCAAAAAAATGAACAATGATGTAAAAAATAAAAAAAATAATTAAAAAAAGAAAAAAAAAAGTGGATTAATGCTATCTACACTTCAGTATTGTTCTCTAATATGAAATGGTCCTAGATAATGTAGAAACATATTAGTAAATTTGACAAGCTCTAATATGGAAGATTATGTAAAGTGCACATAAATCAGATGTTTTCTTCATAAAAAAGGGTTTTTCAGATTTTTATTAATGTGATAAAACAATGCATATTTAGAAGGAAGTTAAAAAGTGGTGGTTGTCCTAGTTTACCTTTCTGTCATGATGTCAGACTTTTGTAATTATTTCAATAGATATCTTGGCTTTTTTTATATTTCTTCTGGTATTTTTACTGTATCATTTCTATGATAAAATTAAAATAATCAAATGGATAATAATTTATTATCTGTTTTTATAATAATTTAATATTTAGAAAATCATAAATTATGTTTTAATTTATATCAGTATTTATATAGAAAACATTTCAATACAAATAATGGATTTTTTTTTTACTATTTATGTGTAGTCTTCTTTTACACTGTTTTGTGGTGTGAGGTATACAATTGAAACTCCAAGTTATGTGAGGTGTGGCACTGGGTAAAATTGAAAGGAACTCAAATGGCCACTGCCAGTGGACATTTACTGAACCATGCTGGCACTCTGACCTGGTTCTTCTAACCTCTGGAGCTATGAGAAGTAAACTTCTAGTTTTCATAAGCTACCCAGTCTGTTTATTTTGTTATCATGTCCCAAATGGACTAAGATAGAACATTGATATTTTTTTAATCATGATTGATATTGGGCTTTTAAAATAATACTTTATTTCATGTCTTTAATAGATATAATTTTCCTTGATTTTTTTTATATTTATGTGTTCAGTTTTGTTCTACTTGAATTTTTTTCTTATATTTCACCCCATACTTGTTTGGAAGTGAAATTATATTTAATTTCAGAACTTATTCTTAAAATTTACTTTGCTTCTCACAGGGTTTCTTTTTCCCAAGATTGATCAATGCCTTAATCCTTCCCTTTCCCCATTTTCAAATGGGGATCTTACAACACTTTTATTTTCCCATGACCCTCCCTTACTATGTCTTTCACACTATTCCAGGCATCGGTGATAAAAATTTATAACTGACAAGGTAAGTGACTTCTTTAAAAGTTTCTGAAGACTCCCCAAATTCTTTTAAGCTTATAAATAAATTTTCAAATTTTATATAAAAGCCAACCCAGATTTATTTACTATCAGTTCTGCCAAACTGTGTGAGCTCATGAGTTGGTTTCTACTATTTATCTGCCTGTCCTTTATGTGCACATAATTACACACAGACACACACAGACCACAACACTTTGACACTTTTAATCACACTGTTTTCTCTCACTATTTTCTAATGATTTGCCTGATAAAAAACAAATTACTTAATACCCGTCTCAAACATTTATTTTCTACCATGTTCTCTGTTCATAATTTTATTCTCTAAACTGTTTCCTCCTGCCTATATATATATAATCAAAATGTATTTATAATGGTATGAATTCTAGTTTGCAAGATAGTTTTGCCTTTATTGCAGTAAAAAAAAAAATTAAATTAAACATATCCACTGTCACTTCTGCTATTTACTCCAAATTAAAATATAAAGGAAAAGGGATACTATTACAAGTTTCCATAAATTTTTTGTTGTTGTTGTTGTTAATTTTATTTTTAACATTGATTTAAATGTCTGACTCTTACCTCCAGTCAGTTTGAAACTAAAACTTTAATCTGGATGCTTCCAGCCAAATTAGCTTAATTCCAGTGATTTATCAGTCATTTCAATTTAACATTTAGTCAGTTCAAGGAGCTGGTCCACTTGCCCTATGTATTGGGATTAGGGCTAGATTCGGGTAAAGTTTAACACCATTGCAGAGGGATGCAACTGGTCTGTGCTTGTACTGATAAAAATATAGCTCTATTTTTTTTGGCACAGACCATCTGAGGTGATTGCTCCAGCAAGGCTTTGCAGCATTTTCCTGTTGATTCAATTCCATCCTGGCGTTTGTTAGAGCTAATCCCTTGATGTCCTGTTGCATCTCCTATTTGATGCCTGCTTGTGATTCCCTGCATATCAGCTTGTACGGGGTGACTTTATGTCATCCTCGAGAAACATTCCTTGCCCCCATGTTGCTCCACTTTGAGGCCAGCAGAGCTTACTCTTAGCCATGTTGTCTGTCTCTTGCTGAGGCACATGGGGACTTCAGACCCTCTCTGCCTCCTTAAATTTTGCCTCTCAGAGACTGTGTATTTAAAAAAATTTAAAACCCCTTCTTAACCATCATTTTGGTCACCCACTGCTGAGCTATGTCTTTATTGATTCCTTTACACTGAGAATATATGTGTGGCTACCTTTCTTCTGAGTTGCAGACAAGGAACAAACCACAGGTACATTTAGTCCCAATTCTTCTAATAACTTGGAAAACTCTGCTTGCCACATTTTCCCTCTCTCTCCCCTCCACACATTCACATTCTGTCTGTGACCTGAGGGTTTGTGATAGAAAGGTTCTATATAAACGTATTTCCTATGTTCTCTCATTTCTAGGTCTATTGGCTTTCTGAATTCTGTGATAAAGGGAAAGGCATGGAGACTGCTTCAGCATTACTGTATTTTCTCTGAAATCTTGTATATTCTATTCAGTAGTTACAAACTTTGTATCTTTGATGGTTTTTGCCTGATCATTCTTTTCTGAAGAGAACAGCTGTCATTTATGACTGAAATAGTTTAGTTTTGTGCTGAAGTATGAAATTTGCTAGTTGATACTTTAGTTCACTGAACTGATATAAAATATTACTTTATAGAGTATCCTGCTATTTATGTTTTATCTTTACCAAGAATATTCCTTTTAGTAGATGCTTTTGCATTGGCTTGTTATTGACATGATCTTTCTTCCTCAGAATGTTCTCTGTGAGGAGGTGAGTCTTCAGCAACATATATCTATGTTGTAGTACCTTTCTGGCCATAACTTGCTGATTTAGGAGTTGACAACAGACATTTGGATCCCATCTCTTGATAACATGAAACCTGAAAGAAAAGACAATGAAATATCTGAAGAGATGCTTCATATCAATTCTATGTTTTAAAGAGAAGTTCTGAACATTTCTTCTACAGATATATTCAGTTATAGGTCTGGTCCATTCCTTTTAAATTTTTTCTGTTTAACTTTCTGTTAACTTTTTGAAAAAAATAGAATTATTTCTCAAATTTGATTTCTCTCATTTGCAATGTGGTTAGTTATGACTGAAAAACTCTGAGCAAAAGGTCACAGTGACTATGAAGGTGACTTCTGGGGTTAGGGAATACGAGTGTCCTATATGATTCTGCTCTTCCCTTTTCTCACAAGCAGTGGCCTGGAAGTCATTCCTTTAAGGCAAAGCCGTAATATCTTTGAGTCACCATTTGTAGGGAATTTTCATCGAAAACAGTGAGATCCAGAGCTAACCTGGCATATATGAGAAATAAACCTCTGATATGCTTAATCATTAAGATCTGTTCATTAATGTGTCATTGCATCATAACCTCGTACATAATGACTATGAAAATTATTTTCAATATTTAAAATAACCTATCTTTTTCTAATTTTCTGTTGTTATATAAATTCATCAAGGAATATCCTTGATGAATATTTTCCCCATGATCAAACTCATCACACTCCTTCCTGGGCGCTCTTCTTGATTACCCCTCAAACTTGGCCTATAAAATCTTGACCAAAACACTTACACAGTTTCTAACAGCTCAAGGCTTCATCCCTTGAATTTACCCTAGCCCCTCTTAAAGCACTTACATGACAAAGCTAAGGCTGCCCAAAGAATTTGTTTCTTCCAGCTGACACTGTAGACAAGGCCCCTGCCTCCACCTTTATCAATCACTAGGAGCCTATCTTTAAAAAGATATATTAGCAAACACAACTGGTTTCACATGCACCAAACCCGCCCACTTTCATGTTTGTTTGTTATACTTCTGTGACTTTATGGAGGCCCCACATTCTGCCTTCTCTTCTTTCTCAGTCTCCCTTTAAAATACCCAGTCAACTCTGTGCAAATCAATATTGTGTTCCATTGGCATAGGACTCTTCCTTACTGTAGTAGAATATTACTGGTGACAATTTGCCCTTCCCACTTTAACTTGAGTGTAGGTTTTTTTATCCTTGACATTCTCTGCTTCTCCCCGCACACCAAGGACAGGCTTGGTAATTTTTTTTTTTTTTTGTCTATTTTACCCAGTTATTGTTGATCTCTATTATGTACTAATTACACAGTATTACAAATGTCCCATTCCTTGGCTGTCTTTTCTACTAGTCTTTAAGTTTATGAATGATACAAATTATGTTCTGAAAATGGAGCACAACTGGTGTTTAGCAATTAGTGAATATCTGTTAAATAAGCATAGGATTATAGTTATTAGAAAGTGAAATAGTGCCTCCCTGATGGTGCAAGGGGTTAAGTCTCAGCTAAAAAGCTATCTCCAGTCACTGTAGCATGAGTTTGATCCTCCACCAGGGAGCTACCCACATGGCGTGGCAGACCTCTCCTGCTTGCCCGCTGCTCCCCTCAGCAGTGTATTTGAGTAGATCTGCCTGTTCTGCTCCCTACTCTGTCTCTGATGAATCCTCTCCCCCACTACATCTTTGACCAACCCCCCAGTTCTTGTCTGCATAAACAAACAATATAAATCTTAAAAAGTGAAATAATGTTCACAAAAAAACAAGTACAAATAAAGTAACTGAATAAATAATAATTACTATAAATTAGTACTACAGTATGAACTGTCAATTCCTCTACATTTAGCAAAATGGAGTAGATGGAAAGAAAAATCATCTCATTAAACCAAAGATGATTTCAGATATAAATCAGAGAATAATCATTTTTTTAATTAAAAAAGTATAGTGAAATTTTGCTGCAAAATTTAAGAGGTTAAATGGTAAAACATGCTATTGTACTGGAGATGGAAGAATGTTAAATAGCTTTCATAGGAGAAATTCATTCTGTGTTTGCCCAAAGGCAAAGAATGCTGCGTTTAGCTCAGACTCAATTAGGAAATGACTTTACTCCTTGCATCACTTTGGAATGCTGATCTCCTTTACTTTAAGATGTACTGTGCAGCTATTATTTGTGCAGCTATATAGTCCAACTACTGTTCAATTCTAGATTTAAGACATAGACACAGACCACAGAAAAAAAATACCACTTAAGGAAAACCAAGAGGCCCATTTGCAATTTAGAACTAAGCAAAGAAAAAAAGAACTTTCCTAGAAAATTAAGAGGAGGGAGGTAGCAAGCATTTTGTACTATGCTGAATGGAGGTATTCCACATCAAAGAAAAATGACAAAGTCTATAAATAAAAGCAATTGTAGAAAAGAGTATAATCATATTTTGTAAGATGGCTGAAATTGAAGAGTGGCTTCCAATTCAAAAAAATGTAGGGCATGAATATTTAAGATGAAAAAGAATCACAAAATATAAGAGAAATTCACTTATTGAAATAAAACATTCCCCTGGGCCTCCCAGGTGGCGCAGCAGTTGAGCACTGGGCTGCGAAGCTCTGCAGTGCCGGTTTGATTCCTGACCCTGGGGGAGGGTCCCTGAAGGAACGCAGACCTCTCCTAAGGTGCCCGCAGCTCCCCTCAGCAGTGTATTTCATCAGTCTGCCTGTTCTGCTCTCCTCTCTGCCTCTGGTGAATTCTCTCACCCTCCCATGCTTCTGACTGTACCCAGTGCTTATATAAATAAATAAATAAATCTTTAAAAAAAAAATAAAACATTCATTAATAGAAAAAAAAACATATTTTAAATAGTTTCATATATATGACAAATGGTTACATATTCACATATGTAAGTTCCTAAATATACCTGTTAATTATATATATGTTTTTCTATAAGAATGAGTAGTTCTCATTATATAGTGTGTATTCTCTTTTCATTGATGATTTTATAAATAAAATTACAATATCATTTTAGATCTAGGTAAATAAAACTATTTCTTCTGGATAGATTATTATGTATGAAATACTTACACACAAACATACACATATGTGTATTAAGTTAGAGTTGATATATTATTAAGGAATATAGTTTTCATGTTGGGTATTTGTCAGCATTTAAGTGCTTTCAAACATGAGTAGGTGACTCTTTCTTTTGTCATATCATAAATAACTACTCAGGTTTGGGTCACAATTTGAACATGATACAATACTAAATGCCAAAATTCTGAATGCCAAAATTCTAAAACCTTGAAATCCTGAAAAATTGAAATTCTGAAAATCATAATCTCAGAAGATGAAATTCCTACATGTTGAAATCCCCAAAGCTGCAATCTCCATGGAGGTACAAAGAAGATCTTAGAGGGGAAGAGAGTTAAAGTGGCCACCATGGGGTACCCATGTTGTTGGACAGGAGTTATCTGTGAGATCATTGCCTTACAGAGAGACACAGGAGTTTACTATATGAGACAACCTCATTGTGAAAGAGGAAATATAGAAAACACTTGTCTTCAGTGTCTGCAAAACTAAACACTGCTTGCACTATTTACAATAGCTAAGCTATGAAAACAACCCAAATGCCCAAAAATAGATGACTGGATCAAGAAGATATGATTCATATACACAATGGAATATTACTCTGCAATCAAAAAATATAAATACATGCAGTTTGCAGCAACATGGATGGAGCTAGAAGGGATCATGCTCAGCTAAATAAGTCAGAAAGAAAAAGAAAAATACCGGATTGTCTCACTCATAGCAGGAATTTAGAAAACCTAAATAAGGGATCAGGAAAAAGACTAATTAATACAAAGTAAAAATCAAAATCAGCAAGCAACTATAAACCAGAGACACACTGCGGGGATGGGGGGATAGGGAAGGGGAGAGGAAGGACTAGGGTCAAAATAAGAGGGGGTGCAATTGTATGGGGGATATAACCAAAATGAAAATGTATACATTGTGCAAAAATGAAAAATGATGTAAGAATTATATAAAATATTAATAAAAATAAAAAAAAATAAAACACTTCTTCACAGGAGAGCCACAGCGACCACCTGACTCTGGAGAGAGGGTACTTCAGCATAACTTAGAATATCTGTAGACCAGCAGTACTCTCTAAATTAAAAAATGAGCGTTATCCTGCTCTTAAAAGTTTCTTTCTCAGATAACATGCTTTTTCAAAGATCAAGAAAAGTGTCTGGGAGAATTTTTGGTTGTTTTCTTCTTAGCATCCTCTTTGCAGGATTTCAGTCTTTCAGAATTTCAACTTTGGGGTTCTAGACACATGGGTTCTATCTTTCAGGATTATGATCAGCACCGCAAATTTCTAATTAGTCTTACACTGCTTTCATATACAGGTCAGAGAATTTCTACTACATAATCCAAGGTGCTCTATATATTTTAAGAGCTCTATGAAGTGTAAATGTATACATATACAGTTTATACAAACACACACACACAGAATTATATAATTCACATTCATCACTCTGCCAACATGGGTTGAGTCTAAAATTACAACTATGAGAAATGAATAAGGTTAATTTTTATAACTGAAATAATTTTTAAAAAGTGATGAATTGTTTTCACCCAATTTGAGTTCTTATGAAAACGCTGAGAGGGCCTCCCTGGTGGCGCAGCGGGTTGAGCACAGTGCTGTGAAGCTGTCCGCAGCCTCTGCAGTGCGGGTTCGATCCAGGCCGGCCAGGAAGATACCCATATGGCGCGCAGATCTCTCCTGTTGCACCAGCTGCTCCCCTCAGCAGTGTATTCCTGTTGTTTGCCTGTTCTTGTATACAAATAAATAAATCTAAAAAAAAAAAAAATCATTAAAAAAAAAAGAAAAGAAAACCCTGAGAAAAAGTCTTGGAAGTTGACACCAGAAAGAAATGATGCAGTGGGAAACATAAAGACCTTAAAGATAGAAGGAAAAAAATAGTTCATTAATGATAAAATATGAATGAGGGAGATATGCTTCTTTTATTGTCTGAATTATATCACCAAAAGACAAGAAGTCTGAGATATTCATCTCTTGTCTTTCAAAAGTCA